TTAAGTCTGCCTTCCAGTTTGCGAAAACGCCAACAGCAGGAGCCTGCAGACTGAGGTTTCTTTTCTGGATTTCGCCAATTTCTACAAGAGGCAACGGTCCACTCCTCTCTTACCCCCTCCCTCCCTCCCCACATCTCCCCTTCAAACCACGCTTCTACGTAGTTGAGAGATCAACTATCCTGGTTCAGTGGCGGTAAAAAGGCATTGAACCGATAATTAAATTACCTGGAAGTGAGAGGATTTCCGCGAGAGAACCCGAACTTCCGGGATAATGTACTTTGTAGGTGACTGAGCAAACTGCAAGTCAAGCAGCAGTAGTTTAACGTAAGTTATTAAGTGGAATTCCGACAGTGTAATTTAATATATTCAGAAGCCTGTTCTTGATGGAACTGTTATTTCACCATCTTGTGGGTTCTGTTTAAGTAGAGCAAGGCCAGTTTGGACGGATTCGTAGGCATAAAAAACTATCGTAATGTGTAATGTGTCTGAAGGTTGATTATCATTCCAAGTTGAGGTATCACGAGTTCGTTTGTGCGCACTCATATTCGTTGGCTCGTGAACAGGCGGCATTACTCTGCATAATTTACTGTTTTACTGCCGCCGATGAAAACGAATTTAAGTTGTTTCCAAAAAAGACGCAAATTCTTAAAAGCCTTTGCCGAAGGAGTGTGTGCTCCTGGGAAAGTACTTTCGGGTGACACGGTGTCATTGCAGACAGAAGTGCATAGACTTTTAGAGCTAACATGAATTACCATAACAAGGTCTCTGAGCATGTTGAGTAATGTGTCTCGTGCATGCATCCAATTGGTTCATTTTGGGTTCCTTCGTATCCACCACTTTCTTGTTAACATTATTTTTGATTGTCAATGATATTAAGACTGGGCCATTTAATCCTTAGACTTATCTATAACTTCTGTCCGTAATTTGTTTGTAAATTAGCTAACAATATATTCCAAGTAAGTCATCGTCACACACAGCGGTGGCAAATTGCAACGAAATTCTCAAAATATTTGCATAACCTCTGCATTTACCCCTGTAATAAACCGAAATTTTGGTTCTGAGATCACAATAATTTACGACAG